GTACTACAGAGTTGCGTACGACTGAGTTGATTAAATCCGAAGCCTCCATATTCTTATTTTATTTTTCCAATTTGTTCATGGATTTCAAAAACTATTCATGAATTAGTTGTTCTCCATCATGGTCATCAAACTTCCAAGATAATACATGAAATTAAATTTTGTGTTATTTTATGATTTAGTTTATCTATTTCTTTCAAGTTTGATTTTTTTAATTTATTTTAATTGCAATTTATTTTTTCTAAATTTAATTTATTTAGGATTAGTTTATATAATTATTTATTACTAGCTTGCATTTTGGATCAACTGGTAAATGGATTGAAATTATCATCCTCTGACATGCTCTCTCTCTCTCTCTCTCTAATACCAGAGTTAACCAAACATCGATGACAAACAAGTATTATTACTGAAATTAAAATAGGAAGTTACAACAAAACAGACAAAAATATGAAATTGCAACAAACACAACACACGACACTAAATGGGGGCGGTTCCAGGGTGGAGGGGTGTCAGCTAGGTGGGTTGGAAGGTGGTAACAAAAAGAGAGGCGGCGAATAAAACAACATATGGTTGTTTTAGGCAAGAGACAACGGGTTGAAGGGGTGAGAATGCGGCCGGTATGTTGTTTGGGATTGCAGTAGCAAATATGGAGGGGTGCGGGTGAAGGAGGGCGGCAACTGGAGGCTGTAGTGGGGCGGCAAGGGTTGGAGGCTAGGAACTGTAGAAATACAATAGATCCTTGTTGGTATGATAGCGACAACAAGGGAGGGTGATGGGGAGCAATGCAGTAAGAATGGGGAAAGGTAAAGAAAGGATAAACACCATCTTAGGAATAAAATACAATCAGAGCACCACTCGAACTCTTGGATGCAACCCTGGAAGGGAAAAAAGAGGCACCGACGGCTGTCTCTGACAAACTTAACAAAACCTCATCCTAGACACCAGCAAAATGAATAAATAAACCTAGTGTAACAAGGAGTGTGTCCCCTCCCAAAAGGAGAGGTGCTTCTCCACATCTAGGGCAAGCTAACCCTCACAAAACCTAAACCGAACTGGTACAGGCTTCCATAATATGGATTCTAGTTATTCATCTTGAGGGTGGCGAGAACATTGTAATCTCCCGGGGTTGAAGGGTCTTGGACCGTGCCTCTAGAAGCACCTGGATCCTACTGTCCGATGCACTGTCCCCCAAAACACTTGAGAAATGTTTACGAATTGCTTATACGGCCTGTCCAACCATTTGTGGGCACCTTTTAGAACCGAACTGGAACTTCATGCCAAGTGTACTATGCAAAGTCCTCCAAAAGTAGTCTTGGTTGGCTCATCCCTCTATAAAGTGGAGGCAGATTGAACCTCCCCCAATGGTGGAAGCCCTTGGTGTAAGTTGTCGATCAGGATATTATGCAATCTCTCCATGGTGGTCGTCTTGTTTTTGATTTCGGCTATTCTGTCTCACTACTATTTAATATTACTAAAACTGATCTCACAGGCGCCTCTTCGTTGACAATAACACCTATAACCTCAGACTCTGCTGAAAGTAGAACCGTGCTTTCTATCTTTTGTCAATGAGTAGGTGTTCTTGAATCCATCACGCTGAGTTTTATGATGAAACTGCTACAGTCACTGCAAAAGAATGTGACAAGCATCCATATGCACAACATCAAACCACACTTGATTCTGCAGTTGATCCCAATAAAAAAAATTTCATGAGGCATCTGGCTGTGAACGTTTCTGAGTAGTGAAACTCAACTTATACACCATTTGTGTTGACGTCTTATCTCACTACTAACTCTATTGATGATAAGGCTGCACACTTTTCTCTTCACAGTGCAACAAGTCTGAAAGATGTTGTGGTGAAGCAACTGCTGTTCTCTCGGGCCTTAGTTTGAAAGAGCTGTGGAACTTTCGGCATCTCACCCTCATCAATTGGAAGCTAGTAGCTCCTGTATCTCTAGTACCATTGTTTACTAATACTATTACTTGCTCAATTAAAGAAACAATTCTGATAGTAGAGCAACTAGAAGCAATGTGTCCAAACCCATGACATCTAAAACACTTTCTTGTTGTATACTGCCCCTCTCAGGGTTCTTCCTACTCTGACCAGCTCTATCATCTTTCTGAGCAGTTTTCATATCTTCCTCAGGTGTGCTTCTGTTGATACTTCCAGTTGTGGGTGGTTGTCTGAATTGATGTGGGTCTATGTTTTGTTTATGTTATCTCTCCACCATTAGTGCCAAGGTGTGAACATCACCTAACGACTAATATGGTTGTAGCTGAACAACATTGTTAATGGTTTGATTCAAGCTTCACAAATATATGCCGATAGTGTGCCCTTCTAGCTCTAACGGCTCATATTTTAGCATAAGTTGCTCAAACTCTGATGTGAACTCCACTGACAACTCTCTCTGTTATAGGTGATAGAGCTTTAAGAACATGTACTGACGGTAGTGTGGGGGCAAGTACTTGCAATGCATCTCATTTTTAATCATCTCCTATGTGGAGATCTTGCTTTGACCTACTCTCTAACTCTCTCTCACTTTAGATTCTCCAATCACAAAGAGACACTCTTCTTTAGCTTTATGGCAATAAGTTTACCCTCTTACAACCAACACCTCCTTGTACACACAAATCCTCTCGACATTATTCAACCACTCAATGAAGTCATCTGAATTCATTCACCTCTCGAAATCTGATGTCTACCTTCACTATCATGTCTCTCTGTCCACGATAATCCATTCCACTTCCTTTGATACAAAATCACAAAGCGGTGTGTCCTATCCTCCTCTTCTCTTAAATCATCCCTACAGAAGGGGCCAAAATTTTACTCACTTTTCGACTTTTGCTGTCACGATTGACGATGATCTCTCCATTAGTCATTTCCTCAATTTCAGCAAATCTTTGCAGATGTTGGAGGATTTCCCGTTGCATTTTTTACAGGTAAAGTTCCTGATCAACTTCCAACACTTGTCTTCTCGATGGCATGGCGGGGATTTAGGTTTGGAGGGAGTGAAAGTTGTATATAGGGGTGGTTTGGAGTGGGAAAAAAAATTTTGGGGGCTAAATTTGGTAACCATAGGATAGGACTATGGGTGTCAATTTAGGTCGGCGGGTTGAGTTTGGGCTCAATCCGAACCCAACCCGATTCGAATATTATACGGGTTGAAACTCTCAACCCAAATCCGATCCAACTCAAACACGACTTATATAACCCATTTAACATAAGTAATAATAACTATTTGGGTTAAAACCAAGTCAATTTTGAGTCCATTTTCAGTCAAATCCAGGTTGGCGGGTTAACCCGAACCTAATCCAAAAAATTAAACGGGTTTGGATATTTAACTTGAATCTTACTCAAAAATTATTTGGGTCAACCTAAACCTAGATTTTTTTAGTCGGGTTTGGGTCGAGTTGGCGTGTTGGGTCAATTTTTGACACCCTTATATAAGACTGGTGTTAGGTAGTACTGATGTCAATTGATACCAGAGTTAATCAAACACCAATGAACAACAAGTATTATTGCTAAAATTCAAATAAAGAGTTACAACAAAACAAACAGAAATATGAAATTGTAACAACCACGACACACGACACTAAACGAGGGTAGTGCATGGATGTCAACTAGTGGGTTGGAAGGTAGAGGAAATAAGAGTAGAGGGGAAGAAAACAACAGATGGTTGTTTTAGGCAACCAACAGCGGGTATGGAGGGGGGAGAATGCAGTCGGGATGTTGTTCAGGATTCGACCAGCAAATATTGAGGGGAGCAGGTGATGGAGGAAAGCAATTGAAGGTTGTAGTGGGGCGATAGAAGGGTTGGAGGGCTAGGAACTGCATAAAAACAACAAATCCTTGTTGTTGGGAGGAGGCAGCAAGGGAGGGTGATGGAGAGCGATGCGGGAGGATGGGGAAGTGTAGAAGAAGGATAAACACCACTTTAGGAGTGAGATACATCTGGAGCACTACTCGGATTCTTGGAGACAACTTTAGAAGGAACAAGGGGGGCATCGACAACTGTCCCAAAACAAACACATCAAAACCTCATCTTAGACACCAATGAAGTATATAAATGGATATATGGTAAGCAGGAGCGAGCCCTCTCCCAAAAAAAGAGGCGCTACTCGCTAGCTGGGGCCGACAAGTCCTCACCTAACATGGGCCTAACCAGTCTAGGCTGGCAGACGGGCATCTGTGTGTGTGTGTCTATATATATATATATCCAAAGTTGCATTGCCTTCCTTTCTCGATGCCCAAGTGCAACAGGTGATCACACTATAATATTTGTAAGTCTAGGGCCAATCTTTATGCTTTATTAATTTTCTTTAATGTTGTAAAATGGATGTGTTGGACAAGTTCTTTTCATATTCATTAAGGTTGTCTGTCTTCCTTTTGAAAAATGGCTATTCTGGCATTAGTATATTTATTCTCGAGGCATTGGGCACTAAATTACAAGTTTTCAATTGCGTGTTTGAGTTAAAGTTGTCGTCTTAAATTTTTTTTGCTTTGTGAACTTTTTTTTGTTTATAAGTTGGAATTTTACCCAACATTTTTTTATGTAATCAACCCTCTTTAAAAAAGAGTTGATGCCAAGCACAACTTGTCCGACTTGCTGGGCGGACGTTGAGGTTCTATTTTGTGATGGCTACAGCTTTATAAAATGTTGTTGTGAAGCTATGATGGAGAAAACAATTTCTTAAAGAGCTACATTAGGAACATATATATATATATATATATATAGATAATCCCAAAAATCAGGCAACAACTTTCTTGCAGCCACAACACTTTAACAGGTCAGGTTGGAAAAAAACAACTTCTCATCATAGAAGTTTCTAGAAAATAGTTCTCCAAACGGAATTGTGGTTACAGTCTGAAACGCAAAACCGACAAAAAGCTTTCTGAAACAAACCCTGAATCTTCTAGAAAAAAAGTACTGCTTAAAATTGTTGGACGAAGTATTGTGTATGAATTTATATTTTGATGTCTCATTTTACTTTATTTTTCTGCGTAGGACTGGACCTGGTCTGTGGGCTGCAGCCCTTTATCAATCACCTCTCAGGGCTGGCATCTTTCACAGTTCCAGACTGATGCAATTGCTCGGAGTTATATTATTACTGCTCTTGAGGAGTCCATACAGACTGTTAATGCTGTGATTCACCGCCTAGCACTTGAGCAAACAAGTATCCTTCTTTGCATTAGTTACCAAGTAGTAGCCGGTGAAAAGTATTAGTTGGATACATTATTTTATTCATTTTATTCAAATGGAATCTTTAGTGATATTTGGCTGAGGTTTATTCGGCTATATGAGTTCAGACATGTAGCAATGATTATATTTCATTTGTTGTGATTGAAGTTCTTGTGTTAGGTCACAAAAAGCAACCTCTTTACAATACTGGGTGCTAAGGTTAAATTTGTGTATATTTATCTATTTTACAGATCTCACATTATCAGGAGTCTCATGCATTTTGTAATGAGGTATGGTTATGTAATCTGTAGATTACTTAGTCCTCCAAATTTCCATTATGAGATATGGCTTCATTCTAGTTTGGATTTTTTTTATTTAGATATTTTATTAGGGAGTTATTGGTCTGTGTACTTCAATGGCATATTGAATAAAGGCGAATTCAATTCTATTAATTTTGTCATTTGACGACATGTAATGATTAGTCTCCTCTTATATACAATCAGGAAATCTAATCATAATAGTTATGCAACTTTTGCAAATTGGAGCATTCCACGAAGGGTCAGTACAAGCATGTCACATTGTCGGTAAACGTCTTGCCATATTACTGCCTTATGGATAAGTAAGGATGCAACAGATTTTCACACCATTGAAATTTCTTGGAAGTTGTTTGATGGCATTGACTGCAATCAGTTCCAACTATTAAGTTATAAAATTAGCCGTGAAGAACTTCCCTGATCTTGTTACTGTGACATAATAGAATTTATTCTTGCTAGTTTCATCTAAACCATGCAATTTTTTTCTTTAGACCATCCTAAAGCTAATTTTTCATTTAATAGATTTGTACTTAAATATAGATGTAATCTTGGCATCAAGGGAATTTGCATCAGTTATCTGTACTCGTATTGTTAAAATCTTAGTGAGAACTTTCTCCACTATCTACATTTGTGATCAGTGAGGATATTGTACCTTGACAAAAAACAAGCTGCACATGGTTTTAGGTTATTCAAATCTCAAGAGAGAGCGATGGTGGACAAGTTCAACTCAGTTGTCAGTTTATGGAGAAGAGTAAGTATAATTAGCTAAAAACGTTTGTATTTAGTCCTCTTATTGTTGCTGAATCCTATTTTCGTGTTTCGTTTTCATAGATTGCAACTATATCCAGCGGACTGCGTTATGGCGATACAATGAAACTTCTATCTTTGCTCGAGGATTCTTCAAAAGGGTTAGTCTATTGGATTCCCATGGCTCACTGTATTGATTTTGATCAATTTATCTGGAAATATTCTTATAGCCTATTACACTTTTATTTTACTAATTACTATAACTTTATTTGCTGATTATAGTGAATGTAATTTCTTTGACCGTTTATTACTTGTATCTCCACAATGAAGTACATCATGAAAGCTTAACTCTTTTTCACTTTTGCTTTTGGCATTAAACTAGTTGTTAGGTTCTCAATCTCACTTAATAGTTCGATTAAGGCTACTTTGATAGAGCCCACCTCAAATAGTTATGTTAACAATAATGATGAGGATGATGGAACTGTATCCTAGTTACCAATTTCAGTACATTGTTTTGACTCTATCCTAAATTGCTTTGCCTGTTTGGTGGTAATTCCACATTAAGTGCGCCTCTCCTATTTTCATGAGGTTGTTTTCTGTTAGTTATGAGTTGAACATATGTACACAAAATTTTGATGTTCTCCTTTACCTCTTCAATTGAAAAAAGAATTGTATTCTTTTTTCAATACTATAGCGAGTGAGTATACTATGAGTTATCTCCCCATTGTTTCACCTGCAGGTTTGCAGAGCATGCTAACAACACCATTGCTTTGCTGCATCCAGTACATTGTACTCGTCAAAGAAGAGTCAATATAGTGCTGGACCTGACTACAGTTCCTGCATTTCTGGTTGTTTTTGCGACTCTCTGGTTTGTTTTTCGGCCGAGGAGGCAGAAACCTAAGATCAATTGAGGCTTTCATTGGTTGAGCAGTGCAAGCAGGCTCGCATGGAGATGTAGATGTATAGAAAGAATTTTGTGAAAAAAGCAAGTTTATGACCTTTCGAGCTTGGCTGCTTCTTCTGTTCAAACTAATTTTAAAATTTGTCTTATTGGCAGTGCTGAATAATTGCTGGTAATTTTGCAAATTCAAGTTAATGCTTCATTTATAAATGGACTCCATTTTCAATTTTTATTAATTATTAGCATTTTTAAAGGTTTGTTTGCTTTATTTCTGTAAAATTATAAAAATGACTTTTTTTGATCGAAAGGTTAATGTTAGGAGTTCTACTTTTTCATTTTTGTAATTTGAAAAATTACAAGGATGCCTTTCTCATTTCATCCTTTTACCAATCATTCTGATATTATTTCTCTGCCCGTTCAACCTTATCCCATTTATCATTAGTTTTTGCTGCAATGTTAATAAGAACTGAATATTAGATGTATGCATAGATTATCAAAGAAAAATGTTTTCATAGGAAAGTGCATTTGCCATGATTAATATGGTAAAGCTTTCCTTAGAATCATGCCTAATGGATTTGAATCTCATCTGAGCAGGTTTGAATTATGCATGAACCATGTTGAAAGTATATTCAAATAAAATTTGAATCATATTCAGTTGTATTATGCATGTTAATCAATGCATTGAAATCTAAAAAATCAAATTGTAACATGCACTATCTTCAAATATATTCTTCTGTTTTATTTTCCTTTGATTATTTTAGTACTACAATATATGTATCATATCTTTTTTTCATTGTTAGAACATTGTAAAAGATGATGTTTTTTAATGATATTTTCAGTGCCTCTGAAAGTGTTTTGTTGATAGGTGGATGACTCTTTAGTTTTGGCCAATCGACTTGCTATATTTTTAACAAGAGAATCATTACTAAAGCGACAAAATGCAATAGTAGAATGAGTTCACAATCGGACCAATTAGTTCTATAATCGAGAAAATATTTCATCAGGACAATCAATCATCTGGCATTATTTTGTCACATGCCTCATCGGCAGGTAAAGTGACGGTCGATGGTTAGCTGTTCCGACAGAATTTTTTTTCCTATAAATTTAATCACAAATCAATCAACGGCTCAGGTTCATATTGTATTTGATATTTTAGAATGGTTTTTGAATAAGCGCCTGCTCAATTTGTAGCTTTTTTATTTTAATTGAATTGCTAGAAACAAAAAAATTAAATTAAAAAATAATTAAAATGTAATATTTCAAGATTTTCATTGAAAATTATATTCCAAATATTCAAGTATACAATATTTTGAATTAAAATATTAAATTAATAATATTATTATTACTATAACATTTAAATTATAATAAAAAAATTTCAATATTTATTTTATCATGTGATAAAACAAGTTTTGCTACTCTTCAACACTTCTTTTTTACATGTAGCTATCATTTAAGCAACTCTCAGAGATGTAAAACACTGCCAGGATAGTTCAAGAAAACAAAAAAACCTCAGGATTGGAAGAAGCACAATCACAATCAAATGAACTTCATTATTATAGATGAAATTTGTAAAGTATTTTGTAATATTTATTACAATAAACATGAAAGATAGCACCTGCCAATTAAAAAAAAAGGCAAAAACAAAAAGAGGCTGCCTGCAAAAGCTTTGTTCACCTAAGAAAAATGCTAAAGCTGTTGATCCGCCCAAGTTGCATAATCATTCAGCAACTGCTCGGTAAGCAGGGGAACAAGTCTGTCAATAAGACCTTGCATAACCCTGTACTCCATAACAAAATCATTACTAGTTTAATATAAGATTAAGCTTTATGGCTACTAAGATTCTTAATGTTATGAGTGTTTATGTTCCTCAAGTAGGTTTGGATAAATATTTAAAAGAAAAATTTTGGAATGCTCTAGAAGTGTTAATACAAATGATATCTCTTGAAGAAAAAATTTCTATTAGAGGAGGCTTAAATAGGCATGTTAGCAGAATGATTGAAGAATTTAGAAATATTTATGGTGGCTATAATTTTGAAGTAATTAACAAGGAAGAGACATAATAGATTTTGCTTTAGCTTGTGAATTTGTTATTGCTAATACTTTATTTTAGAAAAGAAATGAGCATATTATTACTAATAAGAATAAATTTAATAAAACAAAAATTGATTATGTTCTTCTGAGAAAAAAATATCGTCGAGATCGTAAAGATTCTAAGGTCATTCAAAGTAAAAAAATTAAATACTCAACATCGATTAGTAGTTTTAGGTTTTATGATGAATAGTTGAAAGATAAAACAAATATAATCAAATATTGACATACAATTAGGTGATGACACTAAAAAAGAAATAAAATTATCTTTATAAGTAAACTTAAAGATCTTAAGATTTGGAATGTTCACGAAGAAGCTAATGTTATGTGGGATAAAGTAACAAACACTATTAAAGAAGTGAAAAAAATGTACTTAGAAAATAGTTGGTGTTGGAATAATAATGTGCAAGAAAAATAAAAAAATAAAAAAATTTTGTTATAAAAATTGATTTAAATAAAAAACATAGACAATTGAAAAAAAATATAAAGTAGTCAGTAAGAATTCTAAGAGAACAATTTGTGATGCTAAAAAATTCTGACTTTAGTGATATTTATAAATATTAGATACTAAAGAGGGTGAAAGATGCATATATAAACTATATAAACTGACCAAATAAAGAGATAACAAAAGTAAAAAAAAAATAATTTAAGTAAAGTGTATTAAAGATAAAAATCAAAAAGTATTTTTGTAATATGAGAATATTAAACAATGTGGGTGAGATATTTTGATAAACTTTTCAATGAATATTTTAAAAATATGATTGACTTTAATGATTTTAATATCGTTCATAGTAATTTTTTTTATCGTTGCATATAAGTAAAGAGATAGCTGAGGAGGCTTTAAGAAAATTGAAGAGTGAAAAAGCGGTAGTATGTGATGGTATGCTAATAGAAATGTAGAAATATTTAATAGATTTGAGAATTTGTTAGCTTGCCAAATTTTTTAATATTATTTTAAAAAATATAAAGATGCCCGTTGAGTAAAGGAAGAGCATTTTGGTCTGTATTTTTAAGAATAAAAAGGATGCACAAGCGTATACAAATTATAGAGGAATTTAGTTAATGTGCTATGCATTAAAATTATGGGAAGAGTAATTGAACATAGGTTAAGATGTGACACAAAAATTTCTCAAAATTAGTTTGGATTTATGCAAGACAAAGTATACTATGGAAGCCATACGTTATTGAGAGGTTTGATGAAGAAGTACAGAGATAGTAAGGAGGATTTATATATGACTTTTGTTGAGTTAGAAAAAACTTATGATAAAGTTCCAAGAGTTCTAGAAAAGAAAGATATTGATATGACTTACATTCAAGACATTAAAGATATGCATATTACAGTTGTTAGTTGTTTTCAAATAAAAGGAAGATTGACCAAGTATTTCCTATTTCAGTTGGATTACACCAAGGATCGGCCTTTAGCCATATCATTTTATTTTAGTTATGGATGCTCTTACTGGACATTTACAAGAGTTGTACCTTGGTGTATGTTTTTCGCTGATGATATCCTTCTTGTGGATGAGACTAAAGAAAAAGTTCAGAAAGAACTTGAATTATAGAGATCAACTTGAGAGTCTAAGGAGCTTCATTTAAGTAGATCTAAAACTGAATTAGATCTAAAACTGAATACATGCTAAAACTGAATACATGAAATATAATTTTAATAGTAATAGATCTAGTGGCGGAGTTGTAACAATGGATGATCAAATAATTAAAAGGAGTGATCGTTTTAGATATCTCGCCCAAGTTGGATGGTTGAAGTGGAGGAATGCATAGGGTCTATTGTGTGGTAGAAAAATATCGCTTAGACTTGAAGACAAATTTTATAAGATAGTGGTGAAACCTGCAATACTTTATGGCGCAGAATGTTAGCGTATAAAAGAGAAAAATAAAACTAAGTTAAGTTTTCTTGAAATGAGAATGCTTAGATGAACGAGTGGCTTTACATTTAGACACAAAATGCGAAATGAATACATCCGTGAAAGGTTGGTGTAGCTCCAATGGCAGAGAAGATTAGGGAGAGTTGTCTTAGATGATTTGGTCGCATTAAACATTGACCGTCTGATGATCTTGTTAAGAGAGCAAATGTGCTAGATTCGATTTATGATAAGAAAGGTAGAAGTAGTTCTAAAAAGGTTTGGGCAAGTTGTATAAATATGATTTTAATTTAATAGAATTAAATGAAAATATGACACTTAGTAGAACACAATGGAGAAAAAGACTTCCTATAGCCGACCCCACTTTTTGGGATAAAGGCTTGCTGCTATTGTTGTTGTTGTAGTATGGTTTAATATAAGGTCAATTACTGCATGTCCCCAGAAATAACTACAACATTTCATAAAATATATTCTTTTGGACCTGGCATAAACAGTTAGGGATTACCGTCTTCAATAGAGATCAGACTCGAGACAAATTTTTAACAAGCCACATGAGGAAAGAAAGTATGTACTCTAACTTAATTCTATTTACATACATACCACATAATTCTTATGTATTTATATATCTAACATCTAAATATTCATATTTACATGCGTACCAATTAAATTTTTAAAAGCCAATCTAAAATACCATCACTATCTTTATAAACTTTAAATACACCTTTTCAAGGGTAGGTGATTGATACCATGGTGTTATAAGTGCAATTATCAAACTTTAGGACGTAGATATGTAAATACATAAGAATCGTGGTACGTAACATATAAAAAACATTGAAGTTGCAAAAAAGATATGGTGACTTTTTATATTCTGAAATAATATTTAACTGATATTGGCTTACAAATTTCCAGGTTTCTCCACTGCTGAGACCGGAAGTAAGCTAAATGGTATTGTATACACCTACAATATATATAGAAAAAGCAATTTTAATACTTCTTGACTTCTATACGCATATAAAGCTACAAATTGACCAAAAAAACTGAAACATCAAAAGTCATACAAAACCACCATAAAAACAATAATAGAAGCATGCCTTGTAAGTAAAAACAATGTGTAATAGAAATTGACATCTAAAAATCAAAGGATTTTAGAGATTGATTTTCAAAGTGCTTACGAAACATAATTTGGAGATTGATTTTCAAAGTGTTTACGAAACATATGATCCTTGTTAGGAAATCAACGGTTTTTCAAAATTGTTCAGTTCAAGATGTACTGCCTGATCAATAACCTTCAATCAATAAAATATGCACAATAGTTCCTGACATATTCAACTTCATATTCTTAATTTTACAATTGGCACTCAGATCACAATGGGCAAATTTTCTGATGCAAAATTTGTTAAACTCAAACCAGAAATTGAAGTTCTCCTTCCACCACTGCAGACCTCGCATTGCCATGGCCAAATGTCACCATGCCCGGTGATGGAGCACATAATATCCACATGAGCTCGTCGGCCGTGAACGGTGATCGAGCATACAATATACACATGAGCTCTTCAGCCATGAAAACATTTCTTCTCTCAACATGTCCTGATTTCATCACAGAAACCTTGTGAGATGGGTAATCTCAGGCCAGTCACCAGTCATCACTTACACATTGCGAGATCATGCCATACCGGTCCGCATTAAAAGCTAAATGAATCGTTCAACTAGGCAGCTCGATGCCAGTTCATGCTAGGAATGTAGGTGAGCCAAGTCGGCTTGAGCTCAACTCATTAACAAGCTCGTGGGTCAAATTTATCGAGCCACAATCTCGCTTATTAAGTGTGCTCAAGTTAAAGCTTGTCTAGGCTTGGCTCGTCGGCTTGTGAGCCAACTCAACTAGCTGATCAATGGTCACGCTGATACCTTCTCTATCAAGCTAACCAGACACTTCTTCGGTGAGCTCCTGTGATAATCTGATTTTTCGCTCAAGCTCACAAGCCTCGCGAGCTTGGTGTCCTCATTATGAGCCGAGTTCGAGCTTGCCATTTGAGATCGACTAGAACTTGCATTTTAGCAAACGAGCTGAGCTCGAGTAAGGCATGACTCGTGTTCAGCTTAACTTTTTTACACCCCTAGTTCATGCTATAACCTTACTGTCGAACCAGCTCAGTATTGATGAGTTTAAGTTTACCTTATCACGTTAATGTAGATTAAAGCTTAAGTCGTAAATTACGAGTTTTTGAAGAATATGCAAAGCAATATAACAAATAGATGGATATAAAAGAGTGATGAAAAAGGTTTTGGATGTAGAGAGCAATCATACAAAGCCTTAAATTATAGCTCCACTTCAAATTAAGAAAATGAGATACCTCAAGCGATACGCTTAGATTTACATCAACGTCCAAACACGGCTCAGAACCATCCATCTTCCATGTTATATGATTTCTCATAAAAGCTACAGATAAAGAAATAGTATCAGAACGAACAACCCAAGATAACTAATTAAGATAACGAGATTTTAAATTTTATCAGAAACTTAAAAAAAAAACGTTTTGGCTTTGTTTGGTTTGGAAGAACAAATAAGAAAAGAAATACTGTTTACATCATAATTACATCTTTCTGTTTAGTTTGGGTGTAAATCATGTAAAGATGATTTCTCCATAATATAAGAACATCATAATTACATCTATGTTCTAGCCTCGATCGAATGCAATGACTGTTTATTAAGAAGACAATTACACTGATTGAAGATGGAAATACCTGAAAATAGACTATTTTGTTTCTCTATATATTCTGGACCCTCAAACTGTAGAAAAGTGACGAACAAATGAAAATCAATAATATGTTAAAATATCATAAAATAATTCACTGACACATGGAACATCTACCCTCATGCAAGTTATTGAATTTTCACCCCAGTCCAAAATGTTGAAGAACACCCACCCTACTCTATTTTTGCTAGAAAGCTTAAATTTACAGCCAATAAAGAGATCCATGTGCGTTGATTTTATGAGAAATTTTGTTATCCCGGCGAAAACAACTAGCATCATGGAAGCCAAAATAGAAAGATGAAAATGTAAAAGGTGAAATAGACAGAATTAAAGCAGAATATGTTTGACATACAGGATTGTATAGTTGACTTGATATTATTTAGTGTTTGATGCAACATGTGTTGCACATGTTCTGAAAATCTAATGTCCATAAAATAATCCTATTTTTTTTAGTATGGGGTTTATAGTTCAATTAAAATATCGAACGAGGAATTGACATCAGCCACAAAAATGGGTTTAGGTTTCCAAAGAGTTCCAAAAAAAAACTAGAGACCTAGCTAAACTGATTGTCAAATATGAGGGAATTTTATCAAAAATGTCATTCCAATTAAAAATAATGTTGTGATTCCACAAGGATAGGATAAATTCAAGACAAGCACTATGATCTAGAAAAATTTAGGATTGATCAAAAGGTTGAATTGAATGATCTTGTGTATGTGGATTATAGTTCAAGCCTTGCTTCACTAAATGATGTGGACATAAAACTATCAATATTAGATTACAATCAAAGATGACTTCAGAGTCATACAAAATCATCACACGAAATTTAAGAAAAAAATTATTACAGCAACCTAAAAATGAAAAAAAAAAACAAATCCATACATTAAGCAAGAGAGCCTAATATCCATTTGAGCAAAGATAAATACTCTCAGATGTATAATATATTTTGCTTACTATATGCCATTAAAATTTAAATTAATGTGGAAGTTTACATGCATTCCACACAATTCTTTTGTCTTTACATATCTAACAATCAAAGTTTGATATTTACACTTATAACACCTCAGTATCATAAATTTACTCTTCACTTTTAAAAAAATAGTGATGGTGGTCATTTTGATGTGATGTTAAAAATTTGGCTAGTATGCATGTAAATATGAATGTTTAATTGTTATATATATAAATACATAAGAATTTTGAGTTATGTATGTAAATGCCCCTTAACAAAATAAATTCAGCGGCCATAGTAAATTCTAAATTGCCTTTCCTATCTTTTGAGTTCCAACTGTAAAGCCAATAATAACAATAATAATAATAGGATCCTAGTTGTACTGGAGCATGAACTATTAAGATATTGATGCAAACGCTTAACAAAAAATAAGATTAAATCCATTGATGCTTGTTAACAGCATAGAACAGCTCAGGAATCATGTTTGTTTATGTTTTATTATGACAATGCCAAATATCCAACATGAGAAGGATAAAATGACACAGACAAGATAACACTTTCACCAATCTGTTTCAAACACAAAATCTCTTTAAGCTACTCAAAATATTTTTGCATAGGTTAAAATGTTCCCCTTAGTCAACTAAAGTAAATTTGCAGCATGATATTTTGCATTATATATAACCACATGCAAAAATTCATGCTTTCTACAAAATAAGCCAAAGGTTAGAAGCCAAGGCATAATAATATTTTCCATTGAAATGAATTATAGTGAGATTCCATTCTTATCTAGTAAAAAACCAAGAAAAATGCCCACATAGAGATTAGTATGCAAAGTGTTCGTATCCAAAATGAACAAATATTAGGTTCCATACACAGTTCATTTAAGAAGTTTATTAAATTAATTGTATTCTTAGGTCTGCTTATTTTAGTTGTCAACTGAAATTTGACAGACATATGCTTAGAAGCACAAAAATCAAGTGAATTCTAATTTGAAATGTTTGACATCATTAAGGTTCCATTTGATAATGATTTTTGTTAAATGATTAGTGTTTTAACTTGATAGAATAAAAAGCTGTGTGTAAAAGTTAGGTTGCGCAAAAACTAGAAACATAGCTGTTGCAAACATGATAAACAAACATAGTTTTATTCAAAATAACGCTGAAATTTTGTTAATGTAAATATCTATAACATGCGTTAATATCAACGCAACGAATATAACTAAAATTTATATTTTTTCAATTATCCTGTTTAGTGTTTTTAATTGATGACTATTATAAAATTTCATTCATCATTTTAAGAAAACTACTTATTACAGTTGAAAAAAAAATCTATAATTTAAATCATTATTAATTGTATTTTTATTCATATATAATTATTATTTTTGTCAATTATATTGTCATAAATACTGTGAAATCGTTGTTGATCATGTCTATTTTTTTCCATTTAACCAATTCAACTATTTCTATTAGAAAAGTTTATCTTGTTAGGTATGGCTCATATACCAGAAATTTGAAGTCTCTTGGATTTAGAGAGGTGCGTCTCCTGAAATGAAGAGGTCTGTCTCTTGGTGTGAAGAGGTGTCTCTTGAATTAGTGGGTTGGGGGGAGCGAGGGCGTGTTCGTAAATTTATCTGTGGGTTTTATCTATAAATAGATGTGTAACCCTATGAGTATGTAACTCCTCTGAAATAGTGAAATTCATCGCTCTGCTCCCGATGATGTAGGCATCTTTGCCGAACCTCATTAAATCTCTGTGTTCTTCTGGTTTTGTGTCGATTCTGTGTTTTCTTCGCCCTAAATTTCATAACAAATTGTATCAGAGAGCCAATGACTGCGAATGAAATGAAAGTTTCAGGGATCGAGAAGTTCAATGACACGGATCTTGATTATTGGAGGATGCAGATAGAGGACTACTTCTATGAAAAGAAACTTCATTTTCCGTTATTGGGGAAAATACCTGAAAGAATAGATGAGGCTGATGGAATCTCTTGGATCGACAGATTCTGGGGGTTATTCGATTAACCCTATCGAGGTCAAGGAGATGACGACTGCAGATCTTATGGCAGCCCTGCAGGTATGTATGAAAAACCATCAACGAATAACAAGGTATATCTAAAGAAAAAGTTGTTCAATTTGAAGATGGTAGAAGGTACGTCTTCTGTACAACACTTGAATGATTTCAATACTATCACAAGTCAATTATCGTCTGTGAAAATTGAATTTGATGATGAGATATGTGCACTGATCTTATTGGCTTGCGGCAAAAGAGAAATAAGTTTCTCTTGTACGTTTTTTTTTCTTTTTCGATGTATCTCGGTGTAGAGAGAGAAGAGTGAAGAAGTGAGAGAAAGAGTTCGCTCTTGTAATTGGAGACGAATTGGAGACGATCCTCCATTGGTGTAAATTCCTCAAGTAGTAAAATCCTCTGCAACTCCGTGGATGTAGACAATTTGCAGAACCACGTAAATCTGTGTGTTCCGCTGTGTTGTTTTCTAATGTGAATTTTCTCGTTCTATTTTTCACTTCGTCGTCGATCGTTTTAAATTTCATATATACCACATCAACTGGTATCAGAGCGAGGTTTTAGGGTGAAGGAGATCGGCGCAAGAAGAAAAAAGAGAAGAAAAGTTTGGCGGTTTGCGGCAGTTTCTAGAGGCGAATTGCGGCAGCGCGATCGGAAGGCTACTTCCTCCGTAGAAGCAGTTCGCGACTGAGAAGTCTTTGCGGCAGAGGAGTTCGAAGGACGGGCTTCCACGACAGTTGGCGACAGAGGCGTTCGGCGTTTGCAGTCTTGCCGAGAGTTCTGCAAGGAGTTCGTGCGACAGAGGAGCAGTTGGCAAATTTCAGGAGGGCCCAGTTCGAGCAGGCTTCCCCTGGGGTGCGCGGACAGGAGCCGCAAAGGTTTTCGTTCGCGAGAGGTTTCAAATTCACGCGATCCGGACGATCGTTCCCGAAGAGGCTACGACAAGTTGGAGAGTTCTCCTTCGGGAAGAAAGGAAGTTCGCGACCAGGATTTGCGAACAGGAGCCTGCGGTTTGCAGAGGAGGCGAGCAACGACCAGGACCTGCGAACAGGAGCCTGCGGTTTGTGGAGGAGGCTGGCAGTTACAATAGTTATGGGCGGACCAAAAGAAGGGATCAAGGAATCTTTGATCTGCAATAGAGGAAGGGAAGGCTGGAACCGCCTGGAAGTAAGGTTGCACTAGAGGAATATTCTCTTTTAACTTTTCCCTTAGAATTTTTGGGAGGGGATGAAGGAAAGTAATAAAGGAATCTTTGATTCCTACCAGAGGAACCCTCGAGAGGATTTGCCTTTGGAAGCAGAGGAAGAAAACCTATTTCCTGGAAGCGAGTAAAGAAACAGTTGGAGGTTCGTCAGTTTCATAGAACAGTTTGCGCAAGGGGCTATCGAAGGAGTCGGTGAATCGTCACGGCAGTTCGTAAATCGACGCGACTGCTTGCGGGAAGGAGTTCCTGCGGTCAGGGGAGTTTGGCGAACTTGGGGCAACATCGCAACAAGCGTTCGACGTTCACAGGGTCGAGACACGACAGTTCACGAACCTGGTGTTCAGCGAGGTGTAGTTCGTGAATAGGAGTTCGTGTGTAGTTAGTGCGAACAGGAGCATTTGTCAACAGAGGAGTTCGGACAGCGGAGTTCGCAAGTTTGTCGCAGGTAGAGTTGTGGCAAGTGCAGTTGCGACAGGTGGTGCTCGGCCAACAGAGTTTGCAAGTTTGTCGCATGAGGTTTTGCAGTAGATGCAGTTGCGACAAGTTGTGTTCGACCAACGGAGTTCGCAAGTTTGTCGCAGGAGAAATTGTGACAGGTAGAGTTCCCGAATTTCACGGATTGTTCACAGGTTTGTCGGAGAGAAATTGTGACAGGTGGAGTTTGGCTGGCGTACGCAGTATTTCAGCCGAATTTTTGTGCGAACAGAAAAGTTGTTTCGTGTGAAAAATTTGATTCACGAATCACAAAAAATTGCGGGAAAATTACTGCAATTGACAGAGAAAATTTCAGGTTTATTTGAATTTATTTATGGTGTGTTTTGTTTCAATACAAGACAAGAAAAGTTCATTGCATGATTAATTTCAAATGACAATGTCTTGTGCAAAATTCGAGATAATGAATTTCGATAAAACAGAGAAATTCGGAAACAGGGAACTTCGGATTGTGACAAACAATGGTGAAAGATTTGTTGGCACAACAAGAAATTTTGAAGACATTGCGAGCGAGCTATGAAACCTAATGGTAATATCTATAAACTGTTGGGGAGTACAGTTGTAGATGAAGTTCACTCTGTCGGATTATATGATGAAAATGCAGCAGAAAAATTGACCAAACCAGGTATTTTCAACAAGTTCTTGCGTTACTTGAACTTGTTGAATGTTTGCAGTTGCTAGTTGGCATGGTTGCCCAACTCACTTTAGTGTAAGAAATTCAATGATGTTTTTCTCCTAACGGGCTGGATATTCGCAAGGTGGATATTTTATCCTAAGGGGCTCGATATTCGCCAAGATGGAGAATTGTTAGGTATGACTCGTATACCAGGAATTTGGAGTCTCTTGGATTTGAAGATGTGTGTCTCTTGGAATGAAGAGGTGAGTCTCTTGGTGCGAAGAGGTGTCTCTTGGATTTGTGGGCTGGGGAGAGCGAGGGCATGTTTGTAAATTTATCTGTGGGTTTTATCTATAAATAGATGTGTAACCTTATGAGTATGTAACTCCTCTGAAATAGTGAATTTCGCCGCTTTGCTCCTGATGATGTGACATCTTTACCGAACCTCGTTAAATCTCTATGTTCTTCTGATTTTGTGTCGATTGTGTGTTTTCTTCACCCTAAATTTCATAACGTATCTATCATAAGAATTCAGAAAGTGAAGCTATAGTGAAGCTAACAACAGTTTTATCAAATAATAATCTGTTTTATTTGACAACACAATACATCAGCGAAAGGAAAAAAAAAACGAATTTCTTCTTTAATTTACAAGCTGGGTTTCAGATTTCCAATTGATATCAGAATAATCACATAGTAAAGCAAATACTTCAATCAACATAGAAAACTATTTTTGCTGCTGTATTACAATTAAAAGAAAATTTTTTGGGTGAGGACATCTTCAGGCTTATTCCTCAGCGTAATTTAAATTTTATGAATTAAATTTGCTTCCACTAATTTCAAAACTAATACAAAGGCTACACAATCCATCCCGAGCCAATATATTTTTACTATAAAAAGAGCTGCAAAAGAACTTACCTTGCAGGACAACATCTCAACAGTGCAGTCCTCACTAGTTGGAATCACCCTCAAGATCAGCACTGGAGCAACCTCAAACATCAAAAACTGAATCTTATGCAAAGTACACCTGCTCAAAGTCCCACAAATAGCATAAATAGACAATCTCTCCTCCAAATATTCGAAGAAATCAGTTCACCAAAAGCTCCAAAATCTAAACTTGGTCAAAGAAAGTGAAACGACCTATAGGTATTAGAGCCAACCGATTCGAAAGCTTGCAATGCCCTGGTGTTGAGCAAGGCCTCCACTCCCGATCGGTCGTGGAGGAATTCACTAATGGAGAATGCCCTACCATGGCCATCGATGTACTGTGGAAGCTTCACTCTCTCCTTTCTCCGGGCCACAATATTCGCTCGCTTCTGGTCGGCCTTCACCCTTGCTCCCAAAAACCTCCTCCGTTTCCTTGAATCGAATGAGATTGGTCGAGGGGAAAAGATGGGAGATGGCCGAAGAAGAGCTCGCACACTCATTCTTCTGCATCTAGAGAGAGAGGAGGCTCTGGGCAACGCTTTGAGGTTTGCGACAGAGAATCTGTGGAAGGGGAGGAATCTGGATTACAGGACTTGCAGCTAAAGACCGAGATAACATTCAAGCTTTAATTTTTGCTTGTATAGTATTTTTCATATTTTATGGAGTGTTTGACTGCACTCAGTATTTCACTTATTTTTGGATTTCCGTTAATTACAACCATAAATCTTGTTTAAAATATGCTATCAAACACCCCTAAAAGTTTACTATAGTAATAATTTTGAGATGACAAGATTGAGTGTTATAAATATAAAAAGTAAAGTTTAGGTATTAGATATGAGAATTTATAGAAATAGATATATTGAAATAAAATTGATATATTAAGACCATGTTGGGTTTGTGGAGCTTGAAGCACCCATATCAACTTGGAAGAGCAACATAGCAAGTGGTGCAGCGCATCCTTGCCTGTAGATAGAGGGTTTGGTGATGAACCTGCATTAGGGTCTGTAGCGCTCCAATGCCGCTTTCGGGCGAGCCTGCATCTAGTTATAGAGTGGGTGACATTTCAACCTCAGGAGTGAAATGGCACACCATGGACAATTCCTCAGTTCAATTTTCTTATATTCGTGATTCTGGGTGACAAAGGACTGATCTTTGTGCGTGTTTCGAAGAGGAGAATTTCGATGTGTTCTCTTTCGGGATCGAGAGAAAGGATTTAGAGCGAAGTCTTGAAAGTTTCATACTTGTAAAGAGGATATCTAAGTGATTTCTTCGTACTTTTCTAATTTCACAGTGAAAATTTTTGGAAATTCCTTGGTAGCGTGGTTTTATGGTTTTTTCTCATTCTCAGGTTTTTCCATGTAAAATCCCGTTGTACATTTTTTGGAACTTTTTTTTGTGCTTCCATTCGAATTTTTGTTCTAATTTTGTTGAATCTGTGTGTTCCTATTCCACAGTGCGTTCCTATTCCACGGTGTGATTTTGATTCTAATTAGATCAATACCCTAGTAACGGTACAAGGAAGAATCCCATCATTATTCCCAACAAAGTGGTATCATATAGGAGGTTTGAATTGAGTGGGAGTAATGACTGACAAAGTAGAATACAAAGTGAAGAAATTCAATGGGTCGAACTTCATGTTTTGGAAGATGTAAGTGGCGGATTTGATGTATCATAAAAAACTATATTTGCCAATACAATGAATCACTATGAAGATCGAGTCATGACTATGGAGGAATGGAAGGCGTTTGATTGAATAACCGTAGGTTTGATATGTTTATCATTTTATTTGGTTGATGTATTCAATAAAATGAATGAGACAATCACAGTGGATCTTATGGTGACACTAACAAAGATGCATGAAAAATATTTTACTTCTAATAAGGTTTTTATGTTGAATATATTCTTCAACAAAAAAGAAGGTGGAAGGCAGTTCCGTAATAAAATATCTAAACAATTTCAACATAGCAACGAGCCAACTATGTTTTATAGGGATTAAATTTGATGACAGGGTCAGAGCACTATTGATACTATCTTCATTGTCAAACAGCCTGAATTGTTTAGTCAAAATGGTGAGTAACTCTTCTGGGAGTACGAAGTTGAACATCGATGACATCATGTGGTCGGTGACGATGAAGAAGTTCCCATGATGTAAGTAAATGGTGAACCTTAAGATTTTGCATTGAATGTGAAACAAAGTAAAGAACCTTGACATTAATTTAAGTAGAAGCAAATTCAAGTCCAGGAGCAAAGGAAATGGTAGAAGAGAATGTTGGAATTATGGAAAGAAATGACATTTCATGAATGTTTGTAAAGCTTTAAGGAAAGCTGATGGTGAAGGACAGAAAAGAAATCTCTTTACAAATGTTTCCACGACCAAAATTTAAAGTGGCTCCTTGGAGTTGTCCTAGTAGATTCATGTGCCTCTTTTCACTCATTACATAATAAGAGGTATTCAAAAATTACACTTAAGTGATCTAGGGAAGGTTTATATGAGAGAAAATCAGGATTGCACTCAACCAGATGGAGCACGAGAAGTCCCTTAATCACCTACCATTGAAGTTAGAACTTTCAATAGAGTAATATGATCGGTACATATGTATTCTCATTCATTATACTATTTGTTGTTGATCTATAGTGGTGAAACGAAGTGCTTTGGAGAAGCCACCTAAGTTGAAGATTCAAGGGAGCGAGAGCTTGTCGTGGATGAAAAAATGAAGTTTTTGGAGTCAAAATCAAACATGAGATTTGATGGTATTACTGCATGACAAACGAACACTACATAACAAGTGGGTCTAAACTGAAAGAGGAGTCAGATGATAGTGAATGCTACAAGGCAAAGCTTATTATGAAGGGTTTCCAACATAAATGAGTGAAATACATAGACTTTTTCCAATGGTAAAGATGATAATTATCAAAGTTGTGCTAAATCTATTAGCAAAGGAAGAACTATATCTCGAGTAGATGAATTCAAAAACAACTATCTTGCATGGAGATTTGGAGGATGAATTATACATGTTGCAACCATAGGGTTATAAGGTTCCAAAAAAAGAATGTTTGGTTTGTAGGATGAATAATAACCTCTATGGCTTGAATCAAGATCTAAGACAGTAGTACATGAGGTTTGGTTGATTCATGGCAGACAGTGGGTATCTGAAGTGCCAGATAGACTACTGTTGCTCATCAAACACATCAATAATTGTTATATATTGATCCTTATGCATATGGATGATATGTTGATTGCAGGAGCAGATATGAAGAAAATGAGCGATTATCAAGTGAGTTTGAGGTGAAGAATATAAGTCCAATAGAAAAATCCTCGAGATGAGAATCAACAGAGACATGATTGCAGGTACACTAAAGCTATCTCAGCCAAAGTATGTTGAAAAGATCCTACAAAGATTCAACATGAGCGAGGCAAATCTAGTCTGCACCCTTTAGTTAGTCAATTATACATGTAAAATTAGGCTTTAGAAAGGCTTTTATTGTCATTCAATCATCCACATGTTTTTCACGTTATTGATAAATAAGAAAATTATCAAAAAAAACAATAAAAATCTTTTTCACGCGTAATTCTATCTCATAGATCACATCTAAGGACCAGTCAGTTATCCATGAATTTGAAATTTATAAAAATTGTCTGAAATAATAAAATGGACAAATAAATAAACTATATATATATATATATATATATATATATAGAACTAGACTTTACAAGAACTCTCTCTCTCTCTCTCTCTCTCTCTCTCTGAGAGAAGGAACACCATCTACCCAATTCAAATCATGTTCTGCTAATCTCCAATCTTGTCTGTAAAACATTAAACTGCAGTAAAGCATACAAGCTGGTCACACAAAATCTGAAACATTGTTAATATAATACAGAAACAACATATCAACAAATAACGGTCTTGAATAGGAAAGGCCATTTCAACTGATAATTAAACTCTCCAAAGAGTCATGGAGACTGCGATCCTTGGTCTCAATGGGGAAGAAAGCAACAGCTATGGCCGATAGACCGATCACCAATTCGAAGAGAAGAATAGCTTCAGTCTGATGGCAGTCATTTACCAAAGCTACAGCCACAAGAGGAGAAATAATTCCACCTATTCTTCCCACAGCACTTGCAGTTCCATAACCGCTGCTCCTTAGCGACGTCGGATAAACCTAAGAAAACAAGTACACAGATTTAGGTGCCGTCTGACAACGGATTTAAGTGAGGATTTATGCAGGATTTAAGTGGAATCTTGCCAGACAGCCATTTTTGACAAAATAAATCGGTAAATGCCGTAAATCCAGATTCCACAGATTTCGGCTATAGATCTCAGATTTACTAAATCCCACGAACCACTGGATTTAACTTTGCGGGCTAGCATTGAAAATGGTAACAAGATTTAGTAAATCCGTTGCTAGACAATTTTCCGGATTTAACTCATTCAGGATGTAGTAAATCTTGATTTACAGGATTTACTGAATCCTAATAGCTTAAATCTCATATGTTGCCAGACAACACCTTAGTCGTAAGAGAAGCCTTAGCGGTAGACGTCCTTTTTATATTATATCAGAAGATTTATGATAGTAATAATTCATGGCCATGGGAGCCATTTTCTTCATACTGACCTCAGGAGCATATATGCATAGGCACGTCATACTTGTAGTAATGAATGATCGAGTACAAAACAAAAGGGCTGTCGTTAACCCTTCAGTTTTGGAGAAAGCCAAAGGGATCAAGCAAACTAAAGCTGCGAAAAGCATGGTTACCACTGTAATCTTCCGGCCAAACCTATCAACCATCACAGCCAACAAAATAAGCCCAGGCAACTCTGAAAATACAGCAAAGAAAGAATTTTTATAAAACCAACAAAAAAAACTAATAAGAATATAAGGAGAAACAATTTTTTTTTTTAATATTCTTGAACATTTTACCAGCGAAGCTAGTGATAAACAAGTCCTTGTAAAGATTCACGTTCCCTGTGAGATTAAGATGATGTTTTGGGGAAGTGCATGACATTTTTCCATCAGTTAGTGCTGAAGTTAGCAAGACAATACCATAATATGCAAATATGTTTCCAAAGAAACCAATCCAAATGAGAAGAGTTGATCTGACTAATGTTGGAGACAAGAGAATGGACAGTGTGGTAAAAAATCCAATCTTTGATTTCGTATCATGAAAAACATCAATTTGATCCCTTTGAATTGTAGTCAAATGTGACGTTTCAGGAACGTTTTCATCCCCATCAAGCTCCCCTTTAATGTCAGAAATCAGAGAACCGGAAGGAAGTGCCATCTTGTTCATTCTAGCCATTTTCTCCAAAACTTTAATGGCATCAGCTGTTCTACCTTTAGTGCAAAGGTATCTTGGGGATTCAGGGGTGAAGCCGTAAAATAGGAGCAGCAGGAGAACAGGCAAAGAAGACAGAGCTAGGAGCCACCTCCAGCCCAAGTTAGGCAAGACTACCTGCAAATAACAACTTTGGAATACTTATTAAACTTTACAAAATTGAAGAACTTTTCAACTGAGAAATATATACATGGTCAAAATGGTACATAGGCATTATTTTATTATGAAAAAGAATAAAAAGATTATAGTGTTCCAGTTTCTTACAAAATTAATGAATTATAATGAAAATTTTGAAGTCTGAATCGAGAGCACACAAATGAATAAAATATCTGAACAAGATCAGACAGAGAGAACCTAAATTGAAAATGGAAGAAGAAATACCCAAGCAAGTGAAGCCTCAAGAATGGTGCCCAAGCTCCAACAGAATAAAAAGACAGTCATCCATTTACCTCTATTGATGATAGGGACGAACTCAAGAAACCAGGAGAAAAGCACAGGCCCGCCGCCCAACCCAATTCCAACTAAAAAACGAAGGATGATGAAAGTAATGTAGTTGGGAGAGAAGGCGCCGAGAAAACCAGCTCCACTGGCAATCAGCGCAGTAAAGACGAAAGCTTTTCTGTAAAATGCTTAGATGTATGAGCAATGTAAACAATTAGGACTGCAATATTAGAATACTAGGGGGTGGGGTTACCGGCACATGAAAAAAAAAGGTAAAAAATTCAATTTTTGGATAGATGTTTTTTAAAATATATGCATTTAGAGATATAAGTAATTGAAATACAGAAGCTATTTGGTTGAAGGCATTAGAATTTTTTCTTTTTTAGGAACAAAATTTTGGGCAAGCCCCCAAACAATAAAAAACTACGACTTTTTTCTTATGTTTATTTGCAGGTGAAAGGGGATTCAATCTCAGAAGCAACAACTTCCATTGTCTTTATCATCTAAATCAATTTTGGTACAAATTTATAGGCTTTTTTTGGAACACCGGCAACGTTCACAAAATTTCTTTTAAAAGCTGCGTTCGTCAAAACGCATGAGACCAGCTACGAATCTGATATGGCAAAAATGTGTTGTTTCACTAAATGAGAATTTTTACAGCCATCGGCATTTGCTGCAACTGAACAGAACTTCACCGTTGTTCCAAACAAAGCCTTAATTAGATGGCAGATTTTAAGAACACAACTTTCAATAACCAAACTATTGGATTTCTGTCTACGATAGTTTCTCAATCTATTAAACATGGTGTCTTTTATCTTCCATAAAATCTGTCATATATAAATATGTTAAAACTAGCATGTACGAAACTGAGTAGGCCCCAAAAAAAGGGTAAAATTATCCAACTGCAGGATTGAAATACAAATAACAAAATTTCAAGGGTTGACAGTAGAAAGTTACCTTCTTCCATAATTGTCTGAAATGACGCCCCAAGAATACTGCCCTAAAAGCATGCCAGCAAAAACGACACTAGAGATTAAACTCTCTTGGCGAGGAGAAAGTTTCCATTCGGATTGAATTGGAGAGCCAATAAATGAAAGAATCATAATCTCCATTGCTTCTGCAGCATAACCAATCCCAGAATACAGAAATACAAAGAATTGGAACTTCCCAAATCCAATTGAGACCAGCGCTTCTTCCACAGTATACTTATTCTTCTCATTTCCCATCTGTAAAATGTCAATTAATTAATATTAAACCGCATAAAATCTTCATTTCCATACTGCACGCTGTCTTAAGCTTAAAAGCAACTCACGGTCAAAAATATACAAAAGAGATTTAAAAAACCAGAAAATGATAGTAGCAATGGACTAAATATGCGAAATTTACTTTTTTTTTTTCATTGGAGTAATTTGAAACACTGCAGCTTTCTACTATCACTAGAGTTGGTATTGCTAGATTCTTCAATACTAACAAAGCTCAAACTCATCATTTTAAACATGAAAATTCCCATTCTGAAACTAATTAGCCAAAAAAAGAAAAAAAAGAAAAACAAGAAGAGTTGGAGAAAGAAAATAAAAAAGAAATCCATTTTCAAAAAGGTTTCTAATTTGTAATACTAACCGGTGAGGCCTCTGCAAGAGCTTCCAAAATTCTAATTTGATGCAGAAAACCAAAACAATGAAAACCCGACTGGAAATTTACTAGCTTTTTGCGGTCTTCGTTTCTTTCGCTTAAGCACTACTATCATTGAGCTTTTCCCAGCAGCTGCCGTGCTCTTCCCTCTTACCTCCGCTGCACATTATTACGCTGGAGTCAAGGTCTGGACTCCAATAACATTCACACATTTGGTTTTTCAATTGGACCCACATTTCATCTTAATCTTTGAGCGAAAAAAATATTGCATCAGAACTCATTCCGAGTCCAATAATTTAACACCCAATTTATTAGATAGGACCCATTTGATATGAGACATATCATTATTAGACTCCGAATGTAAATTATATTAGAAATTCTGATGTAACATTTCTCCAGTGTGTGTGAAACCCTACCCGACACTAAACATGCCCGCAAAACTGGAAAATAGAAAAAATCAAATGCTTACGTTTTAGGGTATTCTGTTCAGGTTTTGCTCTCTGAATTTTCGAATAAGATTAAGGTTTTCAAAAGACATTCATGAAGGGCGACACTCAGCAGAGCAATTGTTAGTATTATTTGGTCGATTTTTAGTTAAGAGATTTAAAATGAACTTATGATTTTTAACTGAATGGTTTGGGGTTTTCAGCGGATCGATCTGATCGAACTAGAAAAATAAAATGAAGAGAAAAAACAAAGACAGTTTTGAGGTAAACAGATGGCTTACGTATTTTTGTATTTATTGATTTATCATGTGTAAACCATACTTAGTCTTATTTTGTAGTTTGAATTAACATATTTTAATATTATAGGCATAATTTATTCAATATCTCTGGTCCAAAGAAAATAAAATACAGATTTGTGTACAAGTGAATGTATAAATAAGTGCATTATATGATTACTCATGTTTAAATCATACATAATCATGTTTTATTATTAGGATTAATCTATTTTGATATGATAACCTCATTTGCTCAGTGTATTGTTGTTTTATACAGTTTTTCTTGATAAATAGAAAGATTATATAGATGGGTGTATTGGACCATATCTCTTCTCGAAATCATATACAAATAATGTATTATTATTGAAATTAATATGTCTTGATGCGATAAACTTCATTTGTTCCAAACATTTTTGTTTTATTCAACTCCTTTTAGCAAAGTAGAGTGATTGTATATATAGGTGTATAGATGAGTGTATTGTTCCATATCTCATATTTGAACTATATGTAATAATGTTTTATTGTTTGAAATAATGTATTCCGATATGAAAAGCTTCATTAGTTTCAATTATTGTTGGAAATAAAGTATGTTAGATGTAAAAATGTTTTATATCTCATATTTGAACTATATGTAATCATGACTTATTATTGAAAATAATATATTTTGATGTGATGAGTTTCATTAGTTCATTGCATTACTGATTTAATCAACTCCTCTAGGCAAAATAGAATGGGTGTAGAGATGAGTGTAGTTTCATCTCTTATATTTGAACCATTTATAATCACTATTTATTATTAAAAATAATGTATTTGACTAGGTCAGATTCATTTGTTCAATGCATGGTTGTTTGATTAAACTCCTTTAGCCGAAGTAAAATGAGTGTATAAATGGATGTATTGCTTCATATCTCATGTTAAAACAATATATAATTATATTTTTTTTGTTAGAAATAATATATTTGGATATGATAGACTTTATTTATTTCATGCATTTTTTTTTGTTTAGCACATCCAGATAAAGTAGAATGAGTGTACAAATGGGTGTACATATTAGTATTTTGTTTTATATCTCATGTTTGAACTATATGTAATCATGTCTTATTGTTGTAAATAAATTTTTTTTTTAGGTGATATGCTTCATTTGTTCATTTCATTATTATTTTATTCAACTCTATGCAAAATGAAATGAGTGTACATATGGGTGTATTATTTTATATCTCATAGATGAACTATATGTAATCTTGATTTATTATTAGAAATAATGTATTTGATTTGACAAGTTTCATTTGTTGAATGTATAGCTATTTTTTCAAATCTTCTGGCCAAAGTAAAATGTGTGTATAAATGGGTGTGTTGGTCTATATCTCATATTTAAAGTACATATATATATATATGTATATATATATTATTTTCTAAGCTTCATTTATGTCATATTTTGTTGTTTTATTCATCTCATCTTGACACATATAATGAGTGTACAGAGAAGTGCACTACAAATGGCTGTACAAATGAGTGTACAATATGTGTATTATTTCATGGCTCATATTTGAATCATATATAATTATGATGTATTATTAAACATAATGTATTTGATTTATTAAGTTCATTTGTTCAATGCATATCTATTTTAATTAACTCCACTAACAAAAATAAAATTGGTGTATAGATGGTTATATTGCTCCACATCTCAAGTTTAAATAATATATAACCATAATTTTTTATTAAGAATAATGCAATTTGTTGTAATTTTATTCAATTTATCTTGTCAAAGTAGAATGAATGTACAAATAGGTGTATTGTTTCATATCTCATATTTGAACTTACTATTAAGAATAATAAATTTTGATGTGATAGACTTCATTTATTCCTTATATTGTTGTTTTATTCAACCTTTGTAGGTAAAATAGAACAATTGTACAAATGAGTGTACAAATAAGTGTATTGTTTCATATCTCATATTTGAATCATATGTAATCATGATTTATTATTGAAAATAATGTAATTGATTTAGTATACTTCATTTATTAAATGCTTATCTGTTTCATTCTACTCCTTTGACTAAAGTAGAATGAATGCGTACATGAGTATATTGCTCCATATATCAAGTTTAATAGTATATAATCATGTTTATCTCTTAAAATTGATTTTGATGTGATGAGCTTCATTTGCTCCTTACATTGTTGTTTCATTCAACTCTTTTGGCTAAAATAAAATGAGTGTATAGATGGGTGCACAAATTTATATGTTATTTCACATCAAATATTTGAACTATATGTAATCATTTTTTATTATCTGAAATAAAACATTTTATTCATTAAGTTGCATTTGTTCAATGCATATTTATTTTGTTCAACTTCTCTGGCTAAAGTAGAATGTGTTTATAAATGAGTGTATAGATTAGTGTATTACTCTATATCTAATATTTAAATAATTTGTAATCATATTTTTTGTTTAAAATAATGTATTTTGATGTGTTATGCTTCATTTGTTTCTTGCATTACTTTATTTATTCAACTCCTATAGGGAGAGTAGAATGTGTGTACAAATTGATGTACATATTAGTGTACAAATAAATGTATTATTTTATATCTTATATTTGAAACCAAACGTAATCATGAATTATTATTATAAATAATGTATTTAATTTGATAAACTTCATTTGTTCAAAGTAGAATGAGTGTATAAATGAATATATGGATGAGTGTATTGCTTCATAGCTTATTTGTAAACAATATGTAATCATATTTTTTTTATTAGAAATAATGCATTTTGATGTGATAGACTTCATTTGTTCATTGTATTGGTACTTTGTTCATCTCATCCAGACAGACAAAGTAGAATGAGTGTACAAATGTGTGTATTATTTCATATCTCATGTTTGAACCATATGTAGTTATGATTTATGATTGGAAATAATGTATTTTGATGTGATAAATTTCATTTATTAAATGCATATCTGTTTATTCAACTATTTTGGACAAAGTAAAATAAATGTATACATATATGTTGGTTCATATCTCATGTTTAAACAATATATAATCATGTTATGTTGTTGTAAATAATGTATTTTGATGTAATAAGCTTAATTTATGTCTCATTTTGTAGTTTTATTCAATAGAAAAAGTTGTTATTTTAGGTCAGATTTTGTCTACTTTTTCTTACAAGTAGATTCATCTAATATTTCTTATTTTATCATTATTTTTTTAGGGAAATCACTTCAATAATAGATACTTGTAGATGCATGCCTTCAATAGTAAGATTGATATGTGATTATATTATCCATTACTTTAATGAAGAAACAAAAAGCCTTCTAAAGGACCTAAATATATACCAAATCTTTAAGATGCCTTCATACCAACAAGAAAATACTCTTATAATATATATTCTAAGTGGTTGGGATATTGACATAAGGGCTTTAAACATTGGAGGAAAATGCTAAATTTGAATGTATAATATTTATGCATATCATGCTTGTACTAAGTAGCCTCACTGTGTATATTATTCATAAATAATTTGTCCTTTTATTTATATCAAATTGACATAAATGATCTATTTCCCAAGTATATTTTAGTCTTAAATAAATGACAAGATGTTTGTGCAACATATAACTAATGAAAATGTTCAAAAGGTTAAAATTTTATTGATTCTCATAATTTATACTCAGCATTGGTTGGTTAGGGAATTGAAATCTAGGATGACGTTTATATGATTCACTCCCAAAAAATTACACAAGCATATAATTCCTAAAGTTGTAAGAAATTTTCTTAATACATGCTTCACTAGTTCGTCATTTTCTTTTTAGTTGTTATTAATTTTAAAGTTTTTAGTATAATATTATTAGATTATTCAATTCGATTGTCAAAACACTTAATCAAGATAATGATGATGCATTTGAATCAGATCATTTTATTGGTCGGTTATTACATGTAAAGGACTTTCTACTCAAATAAATAGTGTTGATTGTGGATTGTTTGTTTATGAATACATGAAAATAATTGTACATAAAAAAGCCAATAATGTAACTAGCACGTAAGAGTGATAGAATTTAGAGTTGATTTTGTTTATCATCTTTGTTTATAGTCTATTTCACTTCAAGGGTAAATATATATTTCAGTGTTGTGATGTTTGTGACAATCTACTGTAAATTTATAGTTGTGCCTGTTTATGACATATGTTGTCTAAAGGATAAAATGAAGTTTGATGTTGTGATGTTTGAAACACTTTATTATAGCTAAGTTTGGGAAGTTGTGCTTAACATAATATACAAATTTTAGGTATATTGCCCCATTTTCTGAATCAAGAGTTTTGCAATTGTGATGTGAGAAACAATATATTCTAAAATTTTGCATTTTCATGTTTAAAAATTGATGTTTTTTCTTACTTGTTAACATGTTTTAGACAAATTGGTGTGTAGATAAGTGTACAGAAGAGCATATTGTCCCTTTCTCTCATGCATAAATAGTGTTTTGATGTGAGTTAAAAAGACAATAATAAATGAATCAAATGTAGCTTATCAAATCCAAAATATTGTTTACAACAACAAAACATGATTACATATGATTTAAATATGAGATATGGACGAAGATACCCCTTTATACACCCATTCTATTTTGCCCAGAGAAGTTGAGTAAAACAACTATCCATTGAATAAATGAAGCTAATCAAATCAAAATACATTTTCATACAATAAAAAATATGATTATGTATGATTCGATAATAATATAGGGACTAATATACTTATATGTCACCCAGTATGCTTGCTCGGATGAGTTAAACTAAAGATTAATAAATAGAACAAATGAAGTTTACAACATCAAAATATATTAATGTTTACAATAACAAAACATGATTTCATATGATTCAAACATAAGGTATAGACCAATACACACATTTGTACAACCATTCTATTTTGTTAAGAGGAGTTCAATACAAGAGCAATAAGTGGAACAAATGAAGAATATCATATCAAATTATAGTATTCTCAACTAGGTTGAACTAGCGTGACCATGCCTAGGATCGAACGTGGTCAAGCCTCTACTAAAGGCGTCGGAAAGGTGGTCAGCGCGACCACGCCCAAGACCCGGCGTAATTACATTAGGCTTTTTGTTTAGCTGGCACGGCCAAACCACCTTTTAGCATGGTCACGCCAACTGAGGGCTTCGGGCGCCTCCTATCATATTAGGCATGATCACGCTCATACCCCAATGTAATTATGTGAGAGACCCTGTTTGGACCGCTCGATCGAAACGGTGGTGGTCGATTGGTCAAGTTGATCAAGGTGTTCTATTGGGCTGGTGTGGGTAGCCAATCCATGGTTTATTGATATGATCGGGTCGGTGGTGATCGATTGACCAAATAGACAAAGGTGATAGATTGAGCAAGCATGAGCGGCCAATCAACGAAGGATGGCCAATCGATATGATTAAGCTAGTGACGGATGATCAATCGCGTGGACTGAAGATGGTCGATCTGGTCGGAGTGTGAGGTCGATCGACGAATGATGGTCAATCGATACAATCAGGCTAGTGACAACTGATCGATCGAGTGAATCAAAGATGTTCAATCAGACCTAAGTGTGCGGTCAATTGACAAAGGATGGTTAATCAATATGATCTGGTCGGTGGTGGTCGATCAATCCAGTGGACAAAACATGATTGATCGGGTCGAAGTGTGCAGCCGATGCTCTGGCCTGAACGATGAAGGATGGGAGGCTTTGTTGTGGCCACACCTAATTTCGACTGTGGTCACGCCAGAGGTTAGACATGGCTACACCCATTCTAGGCGTAGTCATGTCGGACTCCACAAGGGTCGGGGTTCGGAAAAAAGTTCATAGAAGGGGTTTCGAGCCTCGTGGGAACTCAGGAGGATAAAAAATTAGCAGGACATGATCCATGAACATGTGTAGAGATTGTAAATGTGCTCTAAGAGCTCGAGAGGATGTTCTATGTGCATGTCACTAAGAAAACAACTCTAACATGAAATTCGTCGGTCCGGGTCTTAGGCCTAAAGTACAAACACGTGCAAATTAATTTTGTCAATGTTCCGTATCACAAGAACATTTGTATCTGCAAAACACAGCCCCATGATGCAAGAATGAACGTCAACGTGAAGGACGCCAAAAAATGTTGTTAACTAGGCAATGATCACCTCAGAGCACGACTAAGATTGTGCAGAGCCCAACTTATTGTGCTCGTAGAATTCACTTGAATGTCCTATGGGCCTCCTTAGGTCACAGTAGCATATATGATTCAAATACAGTCGCATATCACTCAGAAAGGATGTCCTGTATGTATTGCAACAAATGTGGATGCCAGCATTGGGCTGGGTAGGATAGGTTGGGTTGGCTTAGGTTGTGTTTGGTTGGGCTAGTTTGGGTAAGGTTGAGTTAGGTTGGGCTAGGTTAGGTTAGGTTGAATTAGGTTGGATTGGTTGGGCTAGGTTGGGCTAAGTTGGGCTTTGTTGGGCTAGGTTGGTTTGTGCTAGGTTGGGTTAGGTTGGTTTAGGTTGAGCTTAGTTGGTTTGGGCTAGGTTGGGCTAAGTTGGTTTGGGTTGGCTAAGTATGGTCAGGTTGGGGTAGATTGTTAATTGAATGATCAAATGAGCTCTAAATTTGACATACTTACAATAAAATTGAGTGCTCAACGAGAGAAATTTAATGAGTCTAGTTCATTTATATTTGAGGTCTTTAAGACCCACAAAACATTAAAAAAACCACCTCTGATCATGGAAGTCAGTAAGGGCTGCCTGATCAAGTGGTTACTGGAGTTATTTGTCAAATGACTAAATTCTTCTCCTCCATAGTTTATAACTTCCGACGACTTTTTTCAAACTCCTGAAGTTTTACGTAGTATAAAATTATAACCCTGCTCTCTCAAGTGTTTGATGTGTATATTTATAATCACACGTTTATAGTATATTACTTTAAGTGGATCAGACCCTGTGATTTTTTTCCTTTTTTGAGTTTTTTCCATATAAAAATTAAGATGACTTCTTCTACAACTCTTCAATTATGTGTGTGTTTGTTGCATCTCAGTGTAACACAAAGACATTAATTTATTATTCTACTACCAAAAACTTTCTGACACCCAACACTGCTCATCTTCTATCATCTCAGTCAAACACTACATTGTAGTAAAGCATGGATGTTGGTCATATAAAATCTGAAACCTTGTTAGAATTTATTTAATTAAATTGCTCTACAACAATATAATACAACAACAACTGATCAATGAATAAAAGTTTGGAACAAAGACCATCTCAACTGATTAAACTCTCCAAAGAATCATCGAGACCGCGACCCTTCGTTTCGACAGGGAAGAAAGCAACAACTATGGCCGATAGACTGATCACAAATTCAAAGAGAAGAATAGCTTCAGTCTGGTGGCAGTCATCCACCAAAGCTACAGCCACAAGAGGAGAAATAATTCCACCAATTCTTCCCATAGCACTCGCAGTTCCATAACCGCTGCTCCTTAGAGAGGTCGGATAAAGCTAAGAAAACAAGTATGCAAATTTAGTCGTTAGACAAGCCTTAGTGACAGATTTCATTTTTATAATATATTAGAAGATGTATGATAGTAATTCATGACCATGGGAGCCATTTTCTTCATACTCACCTCAGGAGCATATATGCACAGGCATGTCGAGCTTGCAGTGATGCATAATCGAGTACAAAATAGAAGGGTTGTCGTTAACCCTTCAGTATGAAGAAAAGCCAGAGGGATCAAGGAAACGAAAGCTGTGAAAAGCATTATTATCATTGTAATCTTCCGGCCAAACCTATCAACCATCACAGCCAACAAAAGAAGCCCGGGCAACTCTGCAAATACAACAAAGAAATATTTTTATGAATCTAACCAAAATATTATTGAGAATATATTGAGAAAAAAAGCTTTTAAAAAAATTCTTTAACATTTTACCGGCGAAGCTAGTGATAAACACGTCCTTGTAAAGATTCTCGTCTTCTGTGTGATTAAGTTGAAGCTTTGGGGAAGTACATGCCATTTTTCCATCACTTAGTGCTGAAGTTAGCAAGACAATGCCATAATATGCAAATATGTTTCCGAAGAAACCAATCCAAAGGAGAAGAGTTGATCTGACTAATGTTGGAGACAAGAGATTGGACAGTGTGGTAAAAAATCCAATCTTTGATTTCATATTGTGAAGAACAGGAGTTCGATCCCTTTGAACTATAATCAAATGTGAGGTTTCAGGAACATTTTCTTCCCCATCAAGCTCCCCTCTGATGTCAGAAATAAGAGAACCATAAGGAAGTGCCATGTTGTTCGTTCTAGCCATTTTTTCTAGAACTTTGATGGCATCAGTTGTTCTGCCTTTAGTGCAAAGGTATCTTGGTGATTCAGGGGTGAAGCTGTAAAACAAGAGGAGAAGGAGGACTGGCAAAGAAGACAGTGCAAGGAGCCACCTCCAACCCATGTTAGGCATGACTACCTGCAAATAACAAGTTTGAAAAACTTAATCTTGACAAAATAGAAGAGATTTTCTACAAAGACATGAACTCCTTTATGTGGATATACAGTTAGATTGGTACATAGGCATTGTTAATTTATTATGAAAAGGGATCAAAAAATTATGGTGTGGTACTGAAAAAATAGTACTATTTTGATTGTAGATTTGTGCTGCTAACCATATTTCACTATAAATAGTAACACTTAGCTTGAATCAGCTTTGCATTAAATGATTGCAATTCTATCATTATGGAGTGCTTATGGCATTTGAAAATTTCTCAAAATATTTAGCTTTCTTGAATTAAATAAACACTTCTAACTAAGAAAAATAAACTCAGGGCATCGGGTTTTGGAGTAACTATGTTAAGCTTAGGGTGGGCAATTGCATATGCTGAAATTTAAGATTTCTCTATATATGATATAAATTTAATATTTTTCTATATATTTTAAGAAATTTAGTATTTTTGCTCGATCTCAGAAGATTTTTTTGCCCAATACCAAAAATATATTTTTAACATCCATAATTTTGCCCACCCTTACAATTGAAGTTGGTTCCCCCAAGAATTCAAGATGGCAATGAAACAAACGCCAACCTTCTTGACATTATTTCATTCTTCATTATACATAACAAACAATTAAATGGCTATCCACAAGCATCATGAGAACTAAGTCATCAAATAAGTTTCAAATTGATGAAAGGATTTCTGCCTTAAGCCAATATTTCAATTTCATCGGTTTCATTAGTAAAGGTTAGGGTTTGTTTGGGCTGGCTTTAGCGTTTTTGTAAAAGTAGTTGTACAACTATGGTAGAAAAAATAATTTGTTATAAAGTTGGGGTGGGAATTATAATTTTTTTTCGAAAAATCAGACAGTATCTTTTAGAGAGCCACTACACATTTCAACAAATCATGTTGAAAAAAACAGCTTTCCGCTTTATAAATTTTTAAAAGTCACCAAGAAAACAATTCCTAAAACAGAACTACGGTGACGGTGTGAAACATAAAGTAGGCATAAAGCTATTCCCAATATATTATAATCACCAAGAAATGTGCCAAACATGAGCAAATTAATCTATTAGAAGAAGATTATAGTTGTATGCTATCTCTAGTCATAACTAAAAAAAATCATGATCTTTTAATTGTAGGGTTTAAATTTAACTCGAAGCAAAAAAAATATTTTACATAGACTTGGTCATTTAATTTGAGATATTAGAGCTTATTAGGTTATTTACTATGTTAGATCAATTTATTAGAGCTGTAAAAACTCCAACATCAAAACTTGAAATCAATTGGGTGAACCTTTATAAAACTCTTTACTTCTTTATGCATTTATTTATTTATTTTATTTGTTTCTTGCACTTAGTGATTGAAATAGGTGTTATGCGATAACAATGCGGAAACTAAGAAATTCACACAACAACAATTAAATACAAATGATTTACACGGTTTAGAATTGAATTGATTCACCCACTTCCTCAAGGAGGGAGAGATTCCACTAGCACGAAATGGGGGGAAAAGAAAAAAAAAGTTTAGGGTTAAAACTTCAACACCTCTCACCATGACTCTCTCATGAACCTTAAATCCATTTTATAGTGGAGGATTAGGGCATGCAAGTAAATAAAGACAAAAGGCTAAATTACCCCTAATTACAATAAAAGCCAAAAATCAATAATAGAGGTTGCCTTATTCTCATATTTTACCTTCTAAAGGAGCTTGCTTTATAAACTCTTTTTGACTAGAAGTAATCATTTGATGACAAAACACCCTATTAAAACTCATGAATAGTTTCAAATATAAAGAGATCATAAATTCAGAATCCTTAAGATGAGCCTATTTCATAATATGAAAAAAATCTTGAAATCTGAATAGAGAGCAGCACACAAATGAATAAAATATCTGAACAAAATCAGACAGAGAGAACCTAAATTGACAATGGAAAAAAGAAATACCCAAGCAAGTTGAAGCCTCAAGAATGGTGCCCAAGCTCCAACAGAAAGAAAAGATAGTCATCCATATACCTCTGTTGGTGGCAGGAACAAACTCTAAAAACCAGGAGAAAAGCACCGGTCCGCCCCCCAACCCAATTCCAACTAAAAACCGAAGGATGATGAAAGTATTGTAGTTGGGGGAGAAAGCGCTGAGAAAACCAGCTCCGCTGGTAACCAGCGCAGTAAAGATGAAACCTTTTCTGTAAAATGCTAAGATGTATGAGCAATGTTAACAATTAAGAGTGTACTGTTAAAATAACAGTTCATTCAAAGTCAAATACATGTAGGGTAGATATTTTTAAAATATATGGATTTTAGAAATATAGAGTAAATGAAATACGGAAGCTAGTTTAAATGCAAATTTAATGCATTATATTTTTTTATTTATTTTTTATGAACAAAATTTGGGGCAAGTCCCTAAACAATAAAAACAATACAACTTTTTCTTATGTTTATTTGAAGGGGAAAGAGGATTCAATCCAAGAAACACCTACTTTCAAAGTCTTTACCAACCAAATTTGTTTTGGAACATGTTCTTAATAAGATGACGAATTTCAATAACCAAACTATTGGATCTCTGTCTACCAAAATTTCTCAATCTATTAAACATAGATTTCTCTTAGGGTTGTCAATTCGGGTTAACGGGTCGGGATTAGGTGTGAAACAGGGTCAACCCGAGTTTCTTTTATCTTCTATAAAATCTTTTTGTCATGTATAACTATGTTAAGCAGGCAGACTTAAAAAAAAGGGTAAAATTATCCAACTGCAGGGCTAAAATATAAATAACAGAATTACAAGGGTGGATGCTAGAACCATACCTTCTTCCATAATTGTCTGAAATGACTCCCCAAGAATATTGCCCCAAAAGCATGCCAGCAAAAACGACACTAGAGATTAAACTCTCTTGGCGAGGAGAAAGTTTCCATTCGGATTGAATTGGAGAGCCAATAAATGAAAGAATCATAAGCTCCATTGCCTCTGCAGCATAACCAATCCCAGAATACAGAAACACAAAGAATTGGAACTTCCCAAATCCAACTGAAACCAGCGCTTCCTCCACCGTATACATATTCCTCTCATTTCCCATCTGCAAACTGTCAATTAATTAATACTAAAACGCATAAAATCTTCATTTGCACTGTGCACACTGTACTAAGCTTAAAAGCAACTCACACTGCAAGAATATACAAAAGAGATTTAAAAAACCAGAAAATGGTAGTAGCAATGGACTGAACAATCGAAATTTACTTTTTTGTCATCAAAGTAATTTGAAAGAGTCCAGCTTTCTACTCTCACTAGAGTTGGTATTGCTAGATTCTTCAATCTTAACAAAGCTCGAACTCATCATCTCAACTCATCTTTTCTTCATTTTAATCATGAAGATTACCATTCTGAAGCTAGTTGGAGAAAGAAAATAAAAAAAAAAACATTTTCAGAAAGGTTTTGAAGTTGTAGTACTAACCGGTGAGGCTTCTGCAAGAGCTTCAAAAATTCGAATTTGATGCAGAAAACCAAAACGCTGAAAAACCCGATTGGAAATTTACAAGCTTTTTGCGTTATGTGTTTCTTTCACGTAAGCCTTATTATGAGCTTTCTAAGTAGCTTGCGTGCGCTTCCTTCTTCCCTCCGGTAGTAATAAAGAGGGTGGAACGGCCTTATCCATGAGAAAGCTTGTTCATATTCTAATAATATTATTATTATTTTGGGATAATTACTTCAATAATATTTAAAAATATTTAACATTAAATCCATATAGTATTATTTAAAAATAACTCTTCAAATAGTCGGAAAATCATTTATTTTATCCTATAAGATATTAGTACTTTAGTATACTAACATCTCAAATGTAAAACAAATGTGGACGTAGTTAGTAAGTTTTTTTGGTCTTGTTATCTGCAGATAAACAAAGGAAATGTAAAGTTTCATGGTCAGAAGAATGAATTTCAAGCACGTGTGCAGTTGGTCGGAGAAAATTTTGGACTTTTGGGAACACTTGCCACAATGAGATGACTAGGCGTTTAAGGCCTCGCTTGACGATTGCTGTATTTTATTAGAATGGGAAAAAAATGCCATTCTGTTTAGCTTGCAGTGGGAAAAATTTTTCAGAAAAATTCAATGCCCAAACGATGCATTTCGTTTTGTCAGCTTTATGTTAAATGGAATGGAGCCTGAACACGTATTCAAACGAAGGCTAAGTTGGGCCCTGTTTTAATTTTCATGAATTTTGATCTTTGAATGAGAATTTGCAAAATGGATGGAAGAGGCTGCTTGATTTGTAAATAGCAATGTTTTGGGTGCAATGAATGTAAAAGGCCCCATAAAAATAATTTCAACAAACATGTAACTATAATAGGAGAACAAAATTTTACATGAAGAAAAAAATAACTATGAGATCTAGTCATAATTATCCATTATATATTTAAAGATAGAAATCAACTTTTCTCTCCAACTGGATAAGATGTGATTACATAAATATGAATAATTTTTTTGTTATTTTGTTATTACAATATGGGTTGATTAACATCAACATTAATTATATATGTTATAATGATTAGGCAACAACTATAACAATATGAAGATGGATTATCTAGCCAGCCCAATAGATACAAATAAATTGGAGTAATCTTAGTAGAGTCTTGGGTATTTGCTCTCAACAAGATGAGAGGATTTAGGTCGCTCAAGATTTTGAAAATATAGTATTCAAGAAAGAATTATACTTAAGATACTCGACAATGATGCAAAAAAGATTTTCAAGTACTTTGTCATGTGCTCTATGTCCATTGTGTTCTGACTAGCGAAAATTATTCACTAATTGATATGAAAGTGTACAATATAAGTATTCCTAGAAGGCTCGCAAAATAACATTAAGTAGATTATCTTATGGTTTATTATTTATGAGATTACTATTATTTATAGTAATATTAAAAAAAACTAAACTAAAGTTATATATTGGATGCAAAATGGTATAATTTAACGACAAAGTTTGTTTGAGACATTATTAAACTTCCAAATGGTAATGATTTGCAGTCAATCACAAAATGTAAAAAAAAAATAAAAATAGAGTAAACAAAGGTAAAATTGCAAAAGTTTCCGATCAATGAAACTTCGCTTGCATGACTCATCTTCTAATCTGCGGCCACAAATTCGCCTATGAACAGTAAAATTACTTGATATTTTTAATGGGTTTCTTCTTCATATGACACAATGGATTAGGCCACCAACTACAGTACCATTAACTTATCATTGGATATTTGATTTGAGTTTCTCCTAATCAAAAGAGAAATATTGGATCAAGTCAAAGGTAAATCTAAAAAATCTTTTTTTTTTTCCAAAATGAGTTTTCTGTTGCGTGTTTTACTGAGTTGCCTCTTTTGTTGGATTAGCTAGAACAAAATCATGTAGTTCAAATATGTAAGCGGGTTTAAAATGTTTGGTGGGTGAATATGATAATAAGTTGGATGATGAAGCTATTGACTTTTGCATTTTTGTCCTGAGCCAATTTCCTTATCAGGTGAAGTCTTGGCGTACGTTCTGAAATTGTATCTAAATTAGTTTATAATTACCATGAGAGCTTTGTTATGTCAATAATTGGGGTGGTATGTATGTAAAGCATTGGGAATTTTAAATGACTAAATTTGGGTATGTATAATATTTGATAGGCTTTCATGTTTTGTATGGATATTTTTTATATAGTTTGGAGGGTAAGATCCGTAAAGGAGAGTTTTGTCGTTTAAATGTTTGGTGAAGGTTCTGGAGGGCTTTTGTATGGGAGTGTTCGTTGGTTTGCCCTCACAATTCCACAATAAAGGAGAACACAAAATCTACTCACTAAGCATGCCAAATTTCATCAACATCAACATTGTAATTCAGAGTAGAAATCATACACAGGAGTCTCCCAATTGTCTTCTGAAGAAAACAAACAAAAACTCAGTATGCTTATCTCCTTAAGATCCAGAATTTGCAGATGAATTACACGCATACCCACAATCCCACAATCTTACAATCTCTCTTTAATCTTGCTTTAAAACTCCTAATTGAACTTCTGTTGTCTTCTCCCTCCAAGTTCTTCCTTTTAGAATGACAGAAAATGTAAGAGAAGCCCCTCAAAATTTGTCATCCCACTTTTTATATTTCCTTTATTGAACTCAAATACCAAACTGCTCAAAACTATCATTGTTCAGCTCTGGCGCCTAGAAGCTCTGTGGCCGGCGCCTAGGCGCCACTCACTTAAACAGTTTGACTGAAGGACCGGCGCCATGATTCACTTCAAGAAAAATTTTGTGTGTTGGTTTTTGACTGTTCTATATTGCAATTGGTACGATGCTAGCATTATACTGCTGAGTGCTTTACTTGAGCATAGTTGGTAGGTAATTGGGGTTTTAATTATGTTGGAGTTGACAGTATTATTTGTTTGGAGTTTTGTGTGTGATTTGGTTGACGATTCTGGTGGAATGAGTTTCAATTTTTTGGAGTGCTGAGAGTTATTGGTCAGTTGTTTTTGATATTTTCAGTGGTAGATTAATTTTCTTACCGTTCAATATTGAGTAAAAATTATCAAAGCTTATGAGGTTTAGTTGGGTCTAATTCTCGTTTTGAAGGGAATGTATGATGGTGTAAGTCCATTCAAGATATCAAAAAAAAATGTCTTCTTTATCGGTTTGAATCTCATAGACGTCGTGTTTTCCACTAGAGTTTTGAATGTGGCGAGTTATTGTGTCATTGCGGTGGTACCCACGGTGAAATGGTGGAGTTTATTCTTTAAATGTATGACTATGGATCTATTGGTGGATTATAAACATTTTGCTAGAGTGTTGCCCATGTACAGGAGGATTGAGTTGAGATGGTTGATAGGATTGCAATGGCTACATTATGATCTATTAATTTCCGAAGGATGTATTCTGGGTTTGGTGCCTGAGATCCTGACTCTTTGAGGTGGGGATTGCGGGGAACAAGTGATTGCTCCATCCAAAAATGCTTTCGAGTAATTTTATGCCTGATAATTATTGTTTGTGAGTGGGGGCATTGCTATGTTTCATGCATGTATAATATTTGATACACTTTCCAATTTCATCTACATGCCTTTAGATAGTAGATAAGAGGATTAGATCGTAAATTCCATAAGGGTGCGTAGGGTAATTTTACATTTCTGATTAAGTTTCTGAATGCAGCTTTTCATATAGTGTTTGTTGGCTTATAATAGGTAAATATCCTAAATTTATAATTTTTTGTGGAAAATATATTTGAACGATAACTTACCGTTGAAGAAAACAAAATTTAAGTGCTTTTTACGGGTTCACATCTAAATTCTACTGGCTCTTACTAAAAATAATATGTCCAGAGTCAGAACTTAAGCTACTTTCGGACAACATATGTGATATATTTAGGTGAAGCTTTAAACAAATAAAAAAAAAAAAAAAAAAAAAAAGCTACAACTGTTCGCGCTATTTTCTTCCGCCCCCCGCCTCTCATATTTCGCGAACTGCTACTTCGATTCGCGTCGATTCACTTCGCCTTAAGTCGCGAACAGGAGCCCATCCGGTTAGGGTATTTTTCGAAACAGAAGAAGAAGAGGAACACGAAAGGCTTTGGCTACTCCTCCCTTTGGTTGGTAGGAATTCAGTGAAGCCTTAAATTGGGGGAAAAAGCAATGGCAACAAGTTTGATTCTCCCATATATTTCTTCCTTGTTTTCTTCTTCTTCGGTGTATCTCGGTGCAGAGAGAGAAGAAGAGAGAGTGAGAAAGTGAGAGACTTTCTCCTATAATTGTAAACGTGATCAGCTGGTGTAAATTCCTCAAGTAATAAAATCCTCTACAACTTCGTGGACGTAGGTAAAGTGAGAGATTTATGTCGTACCACATAAATCTGTGAGTTCCGTTGTGTACTGTTTTTTGGTATTAATTTTCTCGTTCAAATTTTTTGTTTCATCGTCGATCGTTCTATTATATTTAAATGTACCACAATAACTAGTATCAGAGCCAATGGTTGTAGATGAAGTGAATGTTTCATGGATCGAGAAATTTGACAACACATATTTTGATTACTGGAGAATGCAACCTCTATAGGAAGAAACTTAATCTTCTGTTATTGGAGAAAAGACCTAAAAGGATGGATGAAGCTGAATGGAATCAGTTGGATCGACAGATTCTGGGGTTATTCGATTGACCCTATCTAGGTCCGTTGCACACAACATCACAACATCGTCAAGGAATCAAGGAAAGGACGACTGCAGATCTTATGGCAACCCTGTTAGGTATGTATGAAAAGCCAACGATGAATAATAAGATATATCTGATGAAGATGTTATTTAATTTGAAGATAGCAGAAGGTACGTCTGTTGTACAACACCTGAATGATTTTAATACTATCATAAATCAATTATCATATGTGAAAATTAAATTTGATGATGAGATACGTGCACTGATCTTGTTGGCTTCATTACCAAATAGTTGAGAAGCTATGATGATGGTTATCAGTAATTTTGTAGGTAAATCTAAGCTGAAATATGAAGATATTGGTGATTTGATTTGGCTAAGGAGGTGCGCAGGAAAGATTATGGCGAGATTTGAGGTTCGAGTTCAACATTAAATGTCGATTTCAGAGGGAGATCACATTCAGAGGGAG